TGCGTCCAACCGGTGCTCATCATCTCCTACGAGACCTTCCGCCTGCACGCCCACGCGCTGAACGGCGAAATTGGCCTGGTCATCTGCGACGAGGGCCACCGGCTGAAGAACCAGGAGAATCAGACGTACCTCGCCCTCAATCAGATCAACGCCAAGCGGCGGGTCCTGCTCTCGGGCACGCCGATCCAAAACGACCTGCTCGAGTACTTCAGCCTGGTGCAGTTCGTCTGCCCGGGCCTGCTCGGCAGCAGCTCCGAGTTTCGAAAGAAGTTTGAGAACCCGATTCTAAGGGGGCGGGACGCGGCCGCCACCGACGCCGACCAGAAGAAGGGCAAGGAGCGGCTGGAGGAGCTGATCGGCCTGGTCAATCGCTGCATGATCCGCCGCACCTCGGGCATTCTCTCGCAGTACCTGCCGGTGAAGGTGGAGCAGGTGGTCTGCTGCTCGCTGACCGCCCTTCAGAAGACCATCTACCGGGCCTTTCTCAAGTCGAAGGCGGTGGCGGCGGCGGTGGAGCACCCCGAGGGGACGACGGACAAGAGGAAGAAAAATGGCGGCGGCGGCGGCATCAGCGCCTCTCTGGTGGCCATCACCTTCCTCAAGAAGCTCTGCAACAGTCCGCAGCTCGCCTACGACATGGTGCTGGAGAACCGGGCGAAGGCGAAGAAGGGCGACCCCGCCTCGAACTTTGACGAGCTGATGCAGTACTTTCCCAAGGAGTTTGAAGGCGCCGGCGGAGGGAAGCAGGTGCTGGTGGCCACCAGCGGCAAGCTGAAGGTCCTCGACACGCTGCTCGCCTTCATCAAGAACGAGACCACGGACAAGGTGGTCCTGGTCAGCAACTACACCCAGACGATGGACCTCTTTGAGCGGCTGTGTCGCATGCGAGGCTACCGCTACGTCCGCCTCGATGGGACGATGAGCATTAAGAAGCGCGGCAAGGTGGTGGAGGACTTTAACGATCCGCTGAGCAGCGACTTTATCTTCATGCTCAGCTCGAAGGCGGGCGGCTGCGGGCTGAATCTGATCGGCGCCAATCGGCTGGTCATGTACGACCCCGACTGGAATCCGGCGAATGACGGACAGGCGATGGCGCGCGTCTGGCGAGACGGCCAGCGGAAGCAGTGCTTCATTTACCGGTAAGTGTGACTTTGATTTGTTTTAGAACTCGTTTTGAGGATGACTAACTTTGATTGTTTACCTTTCTCACCCTCCCTCCCTCCCCCAGGCTGATGAGCACCGGCACCATCGAGGAGAAGATCTTCCAGCGGCAGATGCACAAGAAGGCCCTCTCCGCCTGCGTCGTCGACAACGAGGAGGACGTGGAGCGGCACTTTTCACTGGGCGAGCTGAAGGAGCTCTTTCGCCTGGAGGAGGCGACCAATAGTGATACGCACGACAAGCTCACCTGCAAGACCTGCCTCGACGGGAAGCCGTATCGCGAGCCGCCGAAGGAGGCGGACTGCACCCGCGACCTCACCGACTGGTACCACTGTCCGGACAAGCGGACGCTGGTGGACACCATTCTGAAGCGCAGCTGGGAGCAGGGCGTCACCTATGTGATGCACCAGAAGTCGCACATTGCCAAGCCCATTCCGTAGTGAAAGATTGCACAAGTCAGCAACCCCAGCAACCAACTTTGATCTCAGCCCTGTTGTAGCACATTGTTACTCCCCTTCCCACCACTTCTCTTCTCTTTTCAAGCCACTATTTTGTGCATTTGATGTTGCCCATTGCCGATCATCATCAGCACTAGCTGCACTATTTGCTGCACCATTTTCATTATTATCATTTCTTCTTCTTGTAATACAAAAGATATTTAATATCAGGTGGAAAATCCACCGTGGAATCTTTGGACACCATCTATCTTTCTGGATGTGTGTGTGTGTGTGTTTTGATTTGGAAATCGCCTGCAAGACGTCACTCTGTCTACGAGAGTGGGCGGGGGCTGCAGGGCAGGCGAACACCTGACCAGCCGCGGGACGCTCGCTCTCCCCCTGCCCTCCACTGCGCCGTTCTGCTCTCTGCGAATTGCCCGCCACTGCCCCCAGCACTGCTCTGTGCAACTGTTTTCGTGCTGTCGCCGTTCAGCAGCAGCCTCACTCATTCATTGTTTGCCTCTCTAGCCCGGCGAGACTTCAACAGACGCAGCAGTTCTATCTCTTTCTCATCTGATTCTGATTCTCAAACATCTTAGAAGACATCAGCATTCAGCTCCGATTCGTATTCTTTGANTTTCGTGCTGTCGCCGTTCAGCAGCAGCCTCACTCATTCATTGTTTGCCTCTCGAGCCCGGCGCGACTACAACAGACGCAGCAGTTCTATCTCTTTCTCATCTGATTCTGATTCTCAAACATCTTAGAAGACATCATTCAGCTCCGATTCGTATTCTTTGTCCTCCTCAAAGTAGGCCTCAACACCAGCAGTTCAAGACGCCGTCCCTCACTTCTACCACCACCACCACCACCACCACTACCGTCATGGGTGAATGGCTGGATTACGATCGGGTGCTCGAGGAGCTGACCAGTAAGTGAAAGCAACAACAACCACTACTTGTCTCATCGAGTTTCAGGTTGATAACGGGTTCTTTTGTTCAATCTAAAAGATTTTACGGGAAAACGGAATGAGGAAAAGCCTGCTGAAACGGCTGAAATGGCTGAAGCAACCACGGCAGAGACGGCGGCGGCGGCGACAGCAGCCGCGGCGGACTCTGACGCAAAGGCCGAGGTCACTGAGGAAGGCGGCGAAGCGGAGATGAAGACGGCGGAGACGACCACGGCCACGACAACACCAAAGCCGAGCAGCAACGATGTGGTGGTGAAGGAGAAGGACACCACAACCACTGCCACCACCCCCGTCGAGTTCCCCGAACTTCTGAACCGATACTTGGAAGGCATCGCAAAGAATGGCGATATCATGTAAGTTCGCATCGAAGTTTGCAGTTTAGCTCCACTGTGCTCTATTTACTATTCAATACCTCCACTTCTCTTCTCTTCTCTTCACAGCTTTCCCTGGAGCTCTGTGAAGCCCTTCATCCGCCGCAAGCTGGAGCAGGTGATGGACGCCTTCCGGCGCGACAATCCGCTCACCGAGACGCAGCTCCGCGTGCCCAACTGCAAGCCCTTCGACTTCGAGGAGCAGAAGGGCGAGATCATGAAGAGCTTCGACTGGTTCTACGCCGCCCCGTTCACCATCCAACGCCTCTGCGAGCTGCTGATCGACCCGGGCAAGCACTACCACCGGACGGACAAGTTCCTCCGTGGGCTGGAGAAGAACGTCCTCGTCGTGTCGACGGTGCAGCCGCGGCCGAACAAGTACGCCACTGCGGAGACGTAAGTGCCAAAGTTACCTGTTTTGTTGTTTCGATTTAGTGGACCACACATTTAACTTTTATTCTTTCCAACAGCCGCGTGGAGAAGCAGTCACCCTTCAAGGACATCTTCAACTGCTCCTCGCCCATCAACAATCACTCGTCGTGCTCCTCCTCCGCCGGTTCTATGAACGGCAGCCTCGATGGCAGCGTTCACCTGGGTGGCTCCAACAGCAGCAGCGCCTACGAGGGCGCCTCGGCCTCGCCTTATGGCCATCACCACCACCACCAACACCCGCTGGGGGCGAACGCCTTCTACGACCAGGCCTCTTCGGGCGGCGCCTCTTCGCTCAACAACAACAGCAACCACAGCCACCCGCACCTGCTGGGCACGATGAACTCGGAGAGCAGTGGAAATTCAGGTGCTGGCGGTAACAACTCACTTCACTCACCTCATCCTCCGCCCACTTCCTCCTCCGCCTCCTCTTCGCCTCACCACTCCGCCCTAGCTCCTCTCCAGCAGCTGGACTCCTTTACAAACGTCTTCACCAGCAGCAGTAGTAGCAGCAGTGGTAGTGGCAGTGGTACAACGCACCAACACCATCAGCAACAGCAGCAGCAGCAGCACCACTACCACCACCACCTGGCACACGGCGGCTACAGCCTGACCAATGGGACGCTCTCCGCCTGGGCCTCGACTGCCTCCTCGGACACGACGACGACCACTACCACCGGCTCCGGAGGGGGAGCAGGAAACGCCGACGACAACAAGATTACTTCGGAGAGGACCACTACCACCACCACTACAGCCTCTATAATCACCACGACCAAGACCAAGACCACTGAGCCTCTGATTGAAGACGGTGATGACGATGAGGAGGAGGAGGAAGAGGTGGAGACCACCTCGGTGGAGGAGAACGTGGTCGTCGACGCTGAGATGCCCGACGAGGAGATGATGGTCGACGAGGAAGAGGAAGAGGAGGAGGAGGAGGCCATCTCCGAGGATGAGGAGGAAGTAGTGGTCGACCACCATCCTGACGACGGAGTGGTGAAGATGACCACCACAGCAAAGGATGAAGAGGAATCCGGCGACACTAATGTGGTCGTCGATGCGGAGATGATGCCCGACGAGGAGATGATGATTGTCGGCGAGGAGGAGGAGGAAGNCCACCATCCTGATGAGGACGGGGTGGTGAAGATGACCACCACAGCAAAGGATGAAGAGGAATCCGGCGACACTAATGTGGTCGTCGATGCGGAGATGCCCGACGAGGAGATGATGATTGTCGGCGAGGAGGAGGAGGAAAGTGTGGTAGTGGAGACTGCTGCCAAAGTGGAAGAAAAGGCGGCGGCGGTTGATCTCACCTCCTCCTCGAATACAATCCTCAAGGAGGAACTCAAGATCGAGGCTGAAGAAGTAGTCCCAGAAAAGAACAGCAGCGTTGAAGAGCCATCGATAGCAGCAGCTGCTGTCATCGACACAGTTGAACCGCCGACACTGGCCGCTGTCGCCGCCCCCGAAACTTCGCCCGCCTCTCCGCAGCAGCACAGCTAGGTAGAGGTGCTCTGTCAACACAATTACATTTTACATTTCTGGTAGAGAACCGCTTCAGGTAGACAGTAGTTGCAGCAACAGCAGCAGCAGCAGTCTAAAGCCGGTACGCTATTCGCTGTTCCATTCACACGCCCCCCGCCCCAACTCAAACTTTGAACGCTAACTTCTTCTTTCCTCGGTGTTGTGGACACCTTTTTGCAGCAGCCACACCCAACAACAGCATTCAAACATGAGACAAACCGCTGCAAAAGATGTACATTATTATATCTCCACACACATACATCTCTTTTCTTTATACACACTCAGACACACCCTATTTATATCTCTCCTCCTAAGCAGCAATGCACTTCTTGCTACACACACACTCTTTTATATTCAACTAAGAGCAAATGATGATACTATTACTTATAAATAATAAAATGATTCGTCTGATCATCATCAGCGTCATCATCATCATCAGCGTCATCATCATCATCCCGTCACAAACGGAGGAAAAGAAGAAAGGAAGAAGAGGTGTCATGGCCAAAAGCAAAGGAAATATATAATGAATGAAAGTGAATGAATGAAAATGAGTGAACGTAATGAAATAGAGAATGAGAAAGAATGAACTTCAGAAAAGAAAGGTCATAGAGAAGAAGTGGTAGTCAGAGGAGAAGAAGAAGAGGAAGAACAAATCGGAAAAAATTTAGAGAAATAGGCGAGTAAAACATCGGCGTAAATAGAGAGAAGGAGACAGAAAGAAAGAAAAAGTGAGTGAATCATCGGGTAGGCGCGGTTCTAGGCGTGCTGGTGGTAGCAGAGAAAAGAGAGTAAAGAGGGTAAAGGGTCGTTGATAGGATCAGATTTAGAGAGAAGGAGAAGGTGAAGAAAGCTAAGCAATAAGTCGGAACGTATAGAAATCGGGGGCCGGTAGGGAGGAGGAGGAAAGGCTGAGGGGTTAGCTTAGGCTGAGGGAGTGTTCAGAGTGGTGACTGGTGTGTGCGGTACAGCTTTAAAAGCCATCACATCTCAGTCAGTCCTTGTTTGTTTGTTTGTTTGTTTGTACTTCACGGGTGTAGTTTTGCTCTTGTTGTAGGGGAAGACTGCGTAGTAGGATAAAAGAGGAGAGAGAAGGAGTAGGAAAGGAAGGTTATGTAGGTAGGTAGGTAGGAAAGAAAGAGGTAACAACACAACAGGGGCAAAGCGGGAGTTTGAACAAGTTTCAGGATTTGTGCAATCAGGTGCTAAAGAGGGGGAGGGGAGGGGACTGGAGGGGAAAGGGGGCTAATGGGGCGAAAACGAAGAAGATAATGAATGATAGAGTGGAGTGTGCGAGGAGAGGTGGCGATGAATGAACGATGATGATGATGATGATCAGGGGAAAGAGGTGGTGGTGCTATCAAGGTCCACAATCGCATCAGTCTAAATCAGTCAGTTTAGAGTCACTGTCAGTGTCCGATGGTTACCGCTGCTCACCACTGAGAACAATGCGCAGCCCGTTGGGGGAAGAGGCGGGACGAGGAGGAGGGGGCGGTGACGCCCCCTGGGTGTCCACTACCGACGCCGAAACCGATGACCCGGGAGGAGCAGCATTCAGGGCGCCGACAATGGCGTCCACCGCCGCCGCGGCCGCAGCAGCCCCGCCCCCACCACCTCCACCATGCGACTTCATGTGCTTCACCAGCTTCCACTTCTCAATGAAGGAGCGGCCGCAGCGGTCAATGGTGCACACCCA